CTTGAGTAAAAGTACAAGTACTCAGATGATCTTGTACTTCAGTAAAAGTAGAAGTACTCAGATCTTGTACTTCAGTAAAAGTAGAAGTACTCAGATCTTGTACTTCAGTAAAAGTAGAAGTACTCAGATCTTGTACTTAAGTAGAAGTACTCAGATCTTGTTATTGAGTAAAAGTAGAAGTACTCAGGTCTTGTACTTGAGTAAAAGTAGAAGTACTCAGGTCTTGTACTTGAGTAAAAGTAGAAGTACTCAGGTCTTGTACTTGATTACAAGTAGAAGTACTCAGATCTTGTACTTGAGTTAAAGTAGAAGTACTCAGATCTTGTACTTGAGTTAAAGTAGAAGTACTCAGATCTTGTACTTGAGTTAAAGTAGAAGTACTCAGATCTTGTACTTGAGTAAAGTATTCTCATCAAAATATAGTTAAAGTAGCGACAGTAAAAGTAGTCGTTGTGCAGATTGGTCCATTTCAGAATAATATATATGATGTGTTTTATAATGATTGATCATGAAAGTGTTCTCAAAGCTGGTAAAGGTGCAGCTAGTCTGAATGACTTTGTATACTGCAGGGTAGCTGGTGGATTTACTCCAGGTGGAACTAAAGTCTGATTCAACACTTGATTATATTTCCCATCATTCATCCACATCTGTAAAGTAACTAAAGGTATTAAATACATGCAGTGGAGTAAAAGTACACCATTTACCTCTGACTTATGTTTACTGCCAACCTAAAAGTACCTCAAAAATAGTAATCAATAATGTATTGAAAAGTTATTTTTCTGATTGTTTTATATTGGCTCAGCCAGGTTATATGGGAGGCCCAGTCTACGTACAGGTCACTCATTTTGAAATATTAAACTTAGTTTTCTTTTCTTTAATTTTTCATCCTCATGTAGAAGGCTATCACGAAACACACATTTGGTTGTTTATAGCATAAAGAACATCTGATTTAATGTGAGGTAGGGAAATAATCATTTGAGTATGTGTATATAAATATGTAATTTACAACAGCTGTAAGATGCTTGAAAAGCTGGAAAATGCACCTTGAAAATGCTTGAAAAGTGCTTGAATTTGACTTTGGAAAAGGTGTAAGAACCCTGGATATCATAAACCTGCTAATGTACGCATTCAAACACTTGTTCTGTTACCAGCTGTATTCACCTTGCAGGTGCAGCTATGTGGCTTTTATCCTGGATAAAGTGTTTAAGTCATGGATGTTTAAAGTTTAACTTCTTCATATTTGACTAATATTATAGTTGACTTTTCATTCAGGAAGTATGACGCTGCGCTGTCAGTACGCTTCTCCATGTTTGTGATTGGTCGAATGCTCCAGATACCACCCCTTTTATGTGAACGCGCACCTAACTAGATAGGAAACGGCTGGCTTGAGCGAACGAGTTGATAGCCAGCGTTGTAGGACAGTTTAGCGAGAGCGGCTTCGTTTTGGATTAAGTCAACTGGATAACTCAAAACATATCCAGGATAGGTTGAACTAGATTCGTAGTATAGGCCCCTGGTCGGGACCAGGTTAGGTTGCAGGCTAAGAGATCAACTCAGTGAAAGCACCGCCTGCTGACCAATCAGAGCTCAGTGTGCGGAGTTTAAAGCGATCAAGTCATATTACAGGAGAAAGGAAACAGAAAAACTGCCATTGCAGGAAAGACGGCCGGCAAAAATCACCGACTGTGTGAACGTGAAAATGAATAGAATATCATCTCCCATCTTCAGAGCAATCTGACTATTATAACATTAGCGTTAAGAAAGCTTACTGAAATATCTGCCACAACATAAGTACACTGAGTGCAGACGTCGATGTGTCCCATTATCATTCATATCACATCATATCACATCATAATGTATCATATATCTCCTTATCTGAGTCAGCTTCTTGAGCCGTATCTGGCAGTGCAACACTTACAGTGTCACATACTGTATGCAGAAGTATTATTTTAAGCAACACATTAAGTTGACGAAACACTCGAGACAAATGTAATTAAAGTCAGATCGTGTTTTAGACGGGGCAGTGATATCATAAACCTGTTAATGTACGCATTCAAACACTTTTTCTTTTACCAGCTGTATTCACCTTGCAGGTGCAGCTATGTGGCTTTTATCCTGGATAAAGTGTTTAAGTCATGGATGTTTAAAGTTTAACTTCTTCATATTTGACTAGTATTAAAGTTCACTTTTCATTCAGGAAGTATGACGCTGCGCTGTCAGTGCGCTTCTCCATGTTTGTGATTGGTCGAATGCTCCAGATACCACCCCTTTCATGTGAACGCGCACCTAACTAGATAGGAAACGGCTGGCTTGAGCGATCCACTTGATAACCAGCGTCGTAGTACAGTTTAGCGACAGCGCGTATGTTTTGGATTAGGCCAACCGGCTAACTCAAACATATCCAGGTTAGGTTGAACCAGCTTCGTAGTATAGGCCCCTGGTCATCTACATGACCATCCGAAGCTGTGTGCACTACTCGCTGGTCGAAACGGTCAGACCTTTTAATCTGTGTTTTAATATGTCTGTTTTTAAAGCACTCGCTGGAGCAGTGACTATAAATCTCGTTGTATTCTGTACAATGACAATAAAAGCTTTTGATTTGATTTGAGAATAACAATTTGAGATAATTAACTGAAAACAGGTGATTTAATCAGACTTTGCACATACCTGTTCTCCGCCTGTGTATGGGCTGTCAATCGGGGCTAGCCGCCCATCCGATGAGCTCGTTTTCCTGCTGCTTATATTTGAATTCATCCTTGCAGAAACATGCTTCAGTTCCTGAAAGTCTTTTTTGGACCGGGTAACATCTTTATACATCCATGGTAAATTACATCCCCTCCAAGTATAAAACACATGGGAAGCAAATAAAATACATTTTCTCTGAAAAGCTAGCAAACGTTAAAGGGAGGCAATCCTCATGACACGCATTTTTAAATAATTATCATCCGATAAAACAGACCAGTCTCTGCCAGTCTTTTTTATTATTTTTTTAATCCAATGACGTTATCAGTGATTTTAAGCTGATTAATTACCGAAATAACATCAACCCTGAGGGCGGCGCCATTTTGACGAGTCACATGACTTATTTTACCGGAAGTGACGTGAACTATGCGTTTGGTGTCGAGGACAAATTGACGTATGTGCTTTGTTCATGTTGTTTACTCTAGTTACTCTCACAATTATATTGAAATATGCCTCATTGTATCGCGAAACATTGCCACAATTCGGATAGGAACAATCCACGGAATGCTCGGTTCCATCTATTGCCAACGGGTAAGCGTAGGAAGTACGTTCGGAGGCAGTGGCTAGCGAAATGTGCTCGGCCCGAACCAAAAGATCCACAGGCGCATGTATGCAGCGAACATTTGAAGTTTCCGGACGACTACTCTGAGAGTATGATGAAACATAAAATGGGATTTATTAATCAACCATTACTTAATGGAGATGCAGTGCACTGCCAATGCCAGCCAGCGTAAGCACATTACACAGCAGAGTAATTCAATTGAAGGAATTGCAGGACCAGACGCACGGAGCACAGAGTGGACAGCAGATAACGGAATTGCAGTTGTATTGCTTATAGATTATCAGAACATTTCAAAGGGGACACAGTCACATTGGATATTAACCTATAGATTAACTACATCATCGTTTTTATCGTTGTAATGCCATTGAAGACCAGTTTAGACCAGACAAAGACCAAGGTAAGCCATGTTAGCCTAGCGCATGTTAGTACCTAGCGCCACTTGTTTTGATGTACGTTTTTGTTGATAACGTCGCGAGTTTGTATCTTTCAGTGTTGAGGTGGGCACCGTTAGATTCTGTGTCTTTACGATCATAAACGATGTGTTGGATGTGCAGCTAGGATAAGTAATAAGGGAGCTAGGAGTGATTTTCGGTGCAGTAATAGGTTAGCATTTTTCGCTCGGGGCTAATTCAGAGGCTCACTGTTAGCATTGTGTGTTTTTTTTGAAGAAAAAAATGAAAAAGATCAGTTAAATTAGTTTTTTCCCGTTATATGGATATAAAATATTCATAGTTTATTAAATATTAAGGTTCCTTAGACGTTGTTTCCTGCAAATGACGCGATTTCGGCCCCGGAACCGGGTCCGTGGGGCCTAAGAGGATAACAGAGTATATTTTTTATTTTGTTTACAGTTGTATTTGGATGGAATGAATACCTATAGTGATAATTCAAAGTAAGTCCGCCTGGACTTTATTTTTCTAAACTTCTTCCTCGGCTGACGAGTCCGAACTCAAATACTCCGCCATGTTTTCGTCGAATGAGCTGTTCGTGTGTTTACAAAGTGAACGCATAGATGACGTCACGACCTAGTTTTTCGGATCATGTGACTACTGAAAATGGCCAAAATGGCAGCAGCCTGACGGAATATACAGGTTTTGATAAAAAAAAGAGCTATAAAATCATTATTTACCGGGGAATATCGCTGTTTTCTTCAGGGTATGGTTTAAACATAATGTTTCACTAAATACTGAAGTTTTGATTAACTATCTAATGACTGGAGCCTTCCTTTAACATTAGCATTTCCTCCAGGAGAATCACTCCACGTCAAATCGTATCAGTTTACCAGAAGTATAGTGTTTAAAACAGCGTACAGCGGTTAGTAAACCTGAGGTTATTAATATCACGTATAATCCACGTGTTGCTGGCAGTGACTAACTTTTTGTAACAGCAAAACAGTAATTGGCAAACAGCCAATCAGATTTGAGCGGTGGGGCAACACCCAATCAGCTTTGAGCATGCGTAATGCTGTATTCTCACGCTCAGAGCACTTGACGCTGTGATCGGGATCTTAGGCTAACTCAAGCCAAGCTCAATCAAAACACCATTTCTACTTGTTTATGTCTTGCATCATGAATGATTGAGATTATATATCAATATGGTGCACGGCCTTTTACTAAAAACACACTTTTTATTTAGCATTACAAACAAAGTTCAGCCAAGGCTTATTTACCAATAAAGAGACATTTTATCCAATGAATACGTGTTTTATTTCCTTTATGCTTTCCATTGAAACACAGACATCTTGAACACAAATACAGGTCAGTTAACCTTTAGGAAAGGTTAGGGAATAGTGAATGTGTGTTTTCCCATTGGAAGAAACATTTTCATCAAGTTCGTTAACATGTCTTAGTTTTAAATACAAGGTATACATTTTTCTTCTTTCTGGTTGTTGTGTCATATTGTGTTTCAACAAAAAGGCATTTTCCCCAAAATATTCTTCCTTTTTGTTGTTTTTCTTTGAGTTTGATGTAATGAATACTTAGCATTCAGTATAAAAGGCATTATGATGAGTTGTGTACAACAGACTAGATTGTCTGAAAACACTAATGATAAATATCATACTGTCCTTCATATGGCAATTCTTTCTTTCAGTCTTTATTTCGAACAGATTAAAAAATAACAAATGTGAAAAACAGAATACCGTATTGTAATAATACAGTATTTATCCACATTCATGGTAATATTTGTATATTCAACAAAAAAACAAAAAATGTCTTCATATTAATAATAAATCATATGTGTCCGAAAGGGAGTAGGAGGAAGCAAATTGATTATCCATTGCAGAATAATATATTTATTAGATGCTGTATAAGTCAATGAGTCATATTAATCCATATCTTTAAACCCAGAGAGGCGGTTAAATGGATTATTGCAGGTTTGACACTGATTACTGTCACTAAACACCCACCGGAAGGATTTCAGCAGCCTTTGTGAGTTTGGGTTGGGTTGAGTCCGATTTATTAGGACCTCCTTTCTCTGCCACACTCGTTTTGTCACAGATCTCCTGTTGGCCGCTCTGCTGGTGTCCAAATTCGAAGCTGATCCTGAGCTCCCCCATCTGACAGCGAGGCAGAACGTCAGGGATCCACTCGATCACAAACGGACTGGCATCCTTCTGATCCGCTGGTCCTGCAGAGATTTGTCAGTGTAAATATAATGCTTGCTTCATGGTATTATAAAAAGGCTGAAAACAAGCAACTCACCAACTTTGAGGAAGGTTCGGAGCTCCATCGGTCGTATAGCCTGCGGCCGATCTGTTCTGAATCCATCTGGTAGTTCTGGTTCAGGCGGAGGCTCAGGGCAGTGAAAACGTGAATACGAGCTGTCGGCATTTTTTACAAAGCTCTGAGAGAGCTCCAGAGGCAGCTGATGGGCAGAGAGTGATGGGGAAATAAAGAGGTGAGAAGATTGTACACTTGAATGTTTCTATTATATTAGCATGTCATATCTTCTCTGGTTTTGGCAGCAGGACAACAAGAGATCAGAGAGGTTTCGCTAAGACAGTAACAATGAAATTGGAAAGCGAGGGGGACAAAAAGAGAGGAGGAGGAAAGTTCTATTTTTTACCTCTGAGGTGTCAAAGATGCGTTTGACCTGCATGAGATTGGTGATGTGCCAGGTGTACTTGGAGAAAGAGCCGAGAGGAAGTCCATCATTCCTCACAAACGCTGACATTCACACAGATAGGAAGAGAGAAAGAGTCAATACTTGATATTCAGATATTAGATGTTGTAAAGTAGAAGGTAAAAGAAACAAACAATTGAAATACTAGGCAATGCAATATTAACTTTTACAGCACTCATTTCTGTCACTGTGTTTTTTCTTAAGATGCTGGGATGGGATGCAGTACACACACTTGCAGCACCTGTAGAGGTCCACGTATGATAAAAATAGCTTTCTTATAATAAATGTCACCTGTTGTGAAGTTGGGCAGCCTCCTCTTCTTGGAGCCCAGCGACAGGCGATGCTGCAGAGCGTTGAAGAACTCCTGGGGGACGTGGTACACCAGAGGCTGAGGTTTCCCTGTTGGAAACACAACAACTTTTTACTGTGTGCAAAGAACTGAAAAAAGCCATTTGTTTAGCGGAGATTCACAGGATTAACTTGGGCCATGCATAAACAAAATAATTGTTGATTAAAGCAAGTTAAAAACTATAGGACTACTTGACAAACTGAAACTTTTGTTGAGTTACAAAATAAACGTTTAAACTGACAAACATCATATGTGTACTTCATGATTTATTAAGATATTGTTCCCGAATGAGGTCCCATGGTAGTCCACTGGAAAGGAGGGGACTTCACCCATGAAAGTGACATCATCACATCTAACTCTTGGCGAAAAGCAAATTAACGCAATTTATATACTATCTATTTGCATGGTGAAATGATCCATAAACATGCAGCGTGCTAATAATACTTCATCTTTACCATCAAACTGGTAGTGCATGGTCTGGTGGATCCTCTCTGTGACGCTAGCCAGCCACTGCTGGAAGCCCATGGTCACCGTACGCTCATCCACAGCCTGCGTACTGCCTGAGACATGAAGACACACAGGTTAGAAGATCACAACAAACACGTATACATTATCTTCTTTTTGTTCCTCAGTGGACCGCTCACCAACCAGATACTCAGTGTTTTAAAGACTTGAGAGCTTTTGCCTGTCAACTTTCATTAAAAAGGCCTGTCAATGTTTTTGAATTAGACGTTAAAATATGCTCCTCTACAGTGCGACCCTGTTCTTTTCAATAGCAGATCAGGATTAGTGCTGCAGGATTAGACGGGGGGATGATGAAGATAGAGACAGATGTCTAAGACGATGTAAGGTTCTTTAACAAACACATTTAGGCAGCAGGGAGGGGAAGTGCAGAGAGGCAGCACCTGGAGCCTTCAGCCCCCCAGCACCGGGGGCTTTCCTCAGGCCGGGGGCTGACACTGCCTCCATCCCCAACCCAGAGAGAGAGGCCACTGAGGGGGCTACACAGAGGCAGGACATCAAAGAGACGCAGGTTGGATGGGACAGACAGAGAAGATTCAGACAAAAATGCTTTGGAGAATCATCCTGCATTAATGAGTGATAATATGATATAAAGAAGGTTTTATGATGAAGCACCAGAGAGAGAATCATCCAGGCGAAGCTTCTTTGTTGTGTGGTGAGAGATGAAGGGTTCGACCTGCTGCAGAGGCTTCTCACTGAGACTGAAGAGCCTACTGGTGGCGTTCTGCTGCACACCTGAAAGGAAGAAAGAAGAGAAAAGCATTATAAGCACATTCGATATTAAACAAAAACAAATGAAAAGGAATATAAATATATCTTCTTCTTTCTTGCAGAGAGTAAAGCCAATTTGTTTGGCTCGGTACAAAGACTGGATACAGGGGGAAAAGCTAGGCTGGTTGTGTCTGTCAGACGAATAACAAACAAATGATAGACAGAATAGTACATGTTTGATTTTCTGTGGAACATCTTTGAGATGAATTCACTTTACATTTTTACCTTGAGAACTTTTCTGTGAATTATCTCGGGGTAAAAATCACATTACGGTACCATATTAAATCCACTTTTTGGACAAGATTGGGATATTTGCTAATATCACACAATACAAATTTGATTTGATTTAAATGTGGGGTCTGCCAGGCATATCAAACAACATCATACGCCCATTTTAACATAAGTTAGATTTATATCAAATTGCAACTGAAATATGATTTGACAATTTTATTACTGGGCTCTTTCAGACATACAAAACTATAAAAATGAACCTATAGTGCCACATTTCTCATGACTAAGCACTGCTAAATGTTTAGGGATAAGGCTTGCTTGGAAGGAAATGTTGACACACAAGTGTAATGGGTTAGGATAGGGTTTATATCAACTCTTTTGCTTTGTATCAACGAATGAATTGCTGATCATTGCATCGATACAACTCTACAGACACCTGCCTACAAACTATTCCTTTAAATATGTTGAACTGACAGAAGAAAACAGGCTCAGTCAGTTACCGTACCACTTGGGGTGTAGTTGATGAAAGCAGCAAACTCTGTAGCCAGTTTCTCGTCGCTTGCAAAGGCACACACACAGGCGTAGAAGTGAAGGCAGGGCTGGGAGCTGGGAGCTGGAGGAAGAGAGTTGGCGGACGCTCCACCTGCTCCATCAGCACCAGGTTTACCTCTCCTGCTACTGAGCTGACAGGCGCAGTGACACACCGTGTGCTGCTGCTCTCTGCCCTTCCCCTCGCTCTTAACCTCCGACAGTCCACCTGCTCCTACGGTGAGATGCAGCAGCCCCAGAGGATGCTGGGAATCTGTGTGGCACTTCACCACCAGGGTGTCTTTTGCCACGCGCTGCACCAGGGGGCCAGGAGACTCCGTGGCCAGCCTCCACAGCTCCTCCTTGGCTTGAATGGAGGCCTGCAGCCCCTCCAGCACGGAGCTCTTTAAGGTCAGTGGTGTTGCGCGACTCTGACACTCAATCGCTTGTTTAATGTGGACGCAGAGGCTGTCGGAGGACTGTTTTGAACCGGCCACCGCTGATTCTGTCTCGCCCTGATTTGACCTTTGACCCTGCCTGCATGAGGGCAAGAAGCAGCGCCCCAGGTTGATGCGAGTTAGCAGGGTGGCACCGTCTCCTGTAGCTATAGCCGTATCCGTGGGGACGAGTTCAACAAAGCCCAGCTGCGTCGCTGTGGCTCCTCTTCCTTTGTGACTCACTGAAAACACCTGGACTCCTCCACCTGAGCCGCCACCCAGGACTCCTCCTGCACCCTCTTTCCCGACACTCTCCTCACTGTCTATTATCACTTTCACCACCTCCACTCCACATTTCTTGCTTTTCCTGCCCGCCTTGGTGGAAGCATTTCTGAGGGAAATCCCACAGGCTTTGTTCTTGCAGCTGAGCCCGCGGGTGCCGTTGTAGACGCCACACTGCGGACACTTGCGAATCCCCCGCAGCGTGGCCCTCCCCAGGTTGGAGAGGAAGGGGGGAGTCGTGGCTGTGGGTTTTCGGCCGTCTCTCTGCTTCGATGCCAGGGTGGCCTGAGAGATGGTAGTCTGGGTAGCAGAGGAGGAGACCACGCTCACTGAGGAGGACACTGTCACCTCTGTTTCCATTTTCAAACTCTCCATTGGAAGGAAATTGATTCTAACCTGGATGAAGAGGGAAAAAAGAAACATACATGCCATGAATATGATAGAATGAAGTTAAAGTTCTCTATTGACCTTACGGAAAATGGTTTGTGTGTGTGTATATTTATTCATATACAACGCATAAATCACATGACACACATTAATTCACAAAAAAATATGAAATTAGCATGTAATACGATATTATAACAAAATGGATCCATACCATAAAAATGATGTCACTGGACTAAGTTTATTCGAAAAAATATCCACTTTTTCACATATCATACATAATGTAAAAAATAATGAAATACCAAAATATATTTTATTTCAACCTTTACCTTCTTTGACAGTTGTATCAACTTGAGAGCTGGTTTTAAAATGGGCCTGTTGTCTTACTGAGTCACTCAGTTTTGTGACATTAACTAAAATAGCCTTGAACTTGCAGACTTCCTTTTTATATAGGAAGTCTGCAAGTTCTTCCTCTATAAAATAACTTGCAGGCCTTGCAGCTGTGACCAGCTTGAAAACTGGTCACAGTAAAAGCAATGGGCCTATATCTGTTTGTAGATGTAGTAGTTAACAACATAACAAATGGTAAAACTTCTTGAATATGCTAATATTAATGTTGGTGAAATACTACCAAGCTTGTTAGGGCCTGAGCACGAAGTGTGCGAAGACCTATTGTAATTCAAAATGTAATAAAACCAATAGTTGAATTACTTGTAGACATATACAGGCTATATGCAAAGGCACTGTGATCCAGGTATGAACATGAGGAATTAAATGAAGCCGAAGGAACAAATAGGGAATCAGTAAGAAATCAGGCGGAGTAGAATATGTATATAACAGTACAAGCATAATGTCAGTATTGATTGAATTGATATGCATGTACCATACAGTGTTGGTAAAGTTCCGTTGAAAAATAGATATCAAAAATTAAAACTGCAATGTTTAACTTATTTCAAATCACATTGCTTTCTTAAGTTTCGCAGAAAAATGTCAGTTAAAATGCTTTGCAATGCTTCAAATGTGTCGTGCATATTTTAAACTGTGCTCCACCTCATTGTTAACACACCACCTGTGTGTCACTGTTATTTATCTGTGAGTGTTTTTAGAGCAAATGTTCAAACTACCTGTGTTCGGCTTCTGTTTGGTCACATTCAGGTCTACTCTGGCCTCCAAATCCGTCTCGACCGTCGCCATTGCTCCTTACATCCCGACAACCGCATTGCGCCTGTAACGACACTCCCCATTGGTCGGAGGCGATCACGTGGTCAAAAAAGGGGCGGCCTCTCTTGAGGCGCTGCATTGTGGGAGGTGTAGTTCATATTGGTGGATGCTTCAGTTTAGGTTCGTTTTCATGTTGAATATTGCTTTTATATCTTGTAACGAGCCACTTCCACTGTATTTGAAGTGTTTATAGCAACAGCTACAATCTCGATGTGTGAGGCTGGAGGAGCTCTGTAATGCTCTTAATACAGGAGGCTGACATTGTTTTATATGAGTTAACATGGATAACTCCAACATTGGAGCTGATTTAAAACAGTCTTCTTAATACTATTTCAGAATAATAAACACACTTTTATATCCTGAGCAAAAAGTAAAATAAATGCTTAATATACCACCAATGTATAGACCGTTTATATTAGCTTTACATACAGAAAAATACCGAAATAAGCCTACATTATTCCATTATCTTCTGGTATCTTTCTCAGATTATCATATTTAAAGAATTGCAGTTTCCTCTTGCCAAATATGATTCATTCAAACATTTTGTACTAAGGTTCAAAATGGAAAAAAAACGATCGAATATTATTGTATAATGAAGAAATTGGTTGTATCTATACTCAATATTGAAATACATACCATGCGACTTTTAGAGAAGAGAAAAATACTATTTATATAAATGTAGATAATTATACTTTTTGTTAACCCTTCATTCTGACCTGGTTTTAAAGACAAGATGCAAACAGCGTAACAGAGAGCAGTTTTAAGCATCAGCATTTTAATGGGACAAAGCAAAAACTCAAACCATGTACAGAACTGTCCTTGCCAAAACATAGGTTGACCACATTCTTAGGCACCGCCTACTCTTGGATGATTTTTGGTTAAATTAAAAAGTAACTCGCTGATGATGATGATAATAATAAGGCAACACAATGGACTTGTTTAACTATGTTAAAAATGATGGTGACCACAGTGCAAAAATCTGATCCTTATACGGTTGATTCTTAATCTATAAAAACAATTGTTTAGGTTTAAGACAGAATAACTTAAATGATGCATTACTTGTGAATGGAAAGGCTTTCGCATTACATAGCAATGCTGCTTGTCGTCCGAGCCTCTGGAAGAATCAAATGTTGCACCGTCTCTACTGTACACTGGACAGGGATGCTACTGTAGAACAGCCGTTTATGAAGTCCATTAGCCCAACAGAAAGCAAGCTCGCTCCCTTGATTAACATGTCGTCTTTATACAGATTCAGTACAATTAAACAGACCGTTTGGTTATTTACATAAAAACAGAAAACAACGTGGAATGCAAAAACATTTTAAAAACAAAAAAACTAGTAATTCAAATTTTGTGAAAAGATAACCTTAAGTATTTGTGCAATATTTGTCTGCCTATTAGTAAGATAAGAGTGGCAGTAATCCCTGCAATTGGTTTATTTGAGATATTGAAAATCCAATTTAAAAAATAAAGTCGACAGCCACTTAATGTTTCATAAACAAACATAAAAGGTCTCATGTGTCACATGATTCCCGAAATTAAACACAAAAAAGGCTCTTTATACAATGTCAGCATTTTAAATTTGCTAAAAAAACAAATGATACTATTTCACCCGTTGCAAAAAATGTTATAATGGCGTAGTCCTTTCTGTTTCAGGGGGAGATTAATGGACATTGTTCTTGTGTGTAATAGCATCAGTTCATGCACACACTCAAGCACACATTTCTTATCCACAGACTCATCAGTCCGCCCCGGGAGATGACAGTCGAGAAGCGCTGAATTTTTACTTGTTTTCCCACTTTCCCTCAAACTGTGTACTTTGTCTTCTCAGTGATTTCCTACATTTCACAGAATGACTCGACACACCTTGAGAACTTGCTTGGACTAGTTTTTCACTTTAGTAACATGTGGACAGACGTGAGAAATGAGAGCTTCAAATTGAGAAAAAAAATAAATGCACCCATTACGCAACACATCGCATGACTTCTTATGGACTACTGAGTGCTTTCTGTGGCAACGTTGGTAGCCTCTTCTCCCTGTATGATTGTTACACGTTGGTATACAATTCTGCCCTTCTCTTTGGCTCTGAAAACAAACAGAACTAAGTGTTTTACTATCTTCCTTTTAAACTAAAATGTGGCTGTGCTAGAAATATCTTGACATGGTTATATAATTTACATTTGGCCAGATATCTGCAGGCATTACAAAAATACGCCAAACAATAAAATGGGCCCAAGAATGCAAAGGTGCATTAGCAATTAGCTGTTTTAAAAGTGTTTTAAAAGTGTCCCGGAGCGGATGGTTTTTCTTTACACTTGCAGATTTGGGCAGTGGGTGTTAAGTTATGGGCTGGTTAAGGTTGATAAAATGGCGTACCAGCCTTTCTAACAGAATTACTTTGTGTGGTTTCAGAGAGAGAGCATCTAATGCCCTCCCTCCCCCAGCAGAGTATCATCTTGTGGCCTCAGAGACTTCAGAGGCCCGCTGTGCTCAGTGATCAGTGGGTGTGGTAGCCGGCGGTGCTCATGCCGGCCTGGTTGGTCAGCACCGCCCCGTTGACGCCCTGCCCGGGCTCCACCATGGCCCCGTTGCTCACTGCGCCCACGCCTGTCCATCCGGCACCGGCAGCATGTAAATGACTGTAAAGGCAGACAGATTATACAGTTAGATGAAAGCTAATGAAAGATGTCGTAGCATCAATGTGAACATTTCTGACATTCAATGTTGTGTGGCGCGAGGGACTGTCTGCAAACTGTGTCCTGCTTTTACATTATAGATGTGATTCAGCTATGTTGTTTGTATTTGTCCATTTATTGAGGCTATTTCCCTACATTTCAAAACTTGTTTGTATTCAAGTGCAACACCAGCACCCTATGGACTGATAAAGATTTAGCTTGCAGTCAGATTTGTATCAGGCAAACAGAGAGGCCAATATGTGATGAAAAATAAATACATTTATTTTGTTCGATTTAGATTTGATCCCGTTAACACACATTTGCAGTGGAGGGATTTAACCAACAGCTGCTTTTCTAGATTCAGATGAATTCAAAACATTAATCAACATATATTTAATTTATTATTTGCATTGTATGCGTCTTATATATACAAGGAGCTACAGCTTAAGCCGCTTAAATTAGACTTTTTGCAAATGAAGCTATAACTTTTGAACTTTCACATACAAAAGTCCAAGGAATTGTCAGGACTTTTACAGGACTGTAAAAGAATGAGCAAATAGGTGATGTTATGGGCAATACAACAGGACGTATACTGTTATACTCAAAGAGATTGTCAACAGTGAAGACAACATGAAAGATGATGATAAAAAAGGTGCAGAAGTTTCTTCAATCACCAACACACATCTAGTGAAGCCATTTCCAAACCCTGTGCTCACCGTGGGAAATAGATGTAAATATTGTTATTATGTAGGCAGAAGAAAATAGTCCCATATTCAGAAATTAAGCTTCCCCTGTTGCTCGTATCCCTAAGTGAGGGAGAGCATGTAAACCCGCTTTCTATTGGGAAAACAATCAAAGTGTGATATAAATAGATAACACCCATTTGGTGTTGCTGTGGTGATAGCAGACAAACTGGCTTAGAGAAAGAAATGAACAAGATGGCTGCATGAAAACAAGATTCACAAGAAATGATTTGTGCTGTGGTCACCTCTGGTACTCACTTGTAGCCCTGCTGATCCCAGCTCTGCCCGTACACTCCGTAGCTGGGCACCTGCCATCCGTTGGGCACATACTGCCCAATCTGCTGTGCAGCTGTGTTGCTGTACCACTGACCCCACTGACTGTAGGGCTGCGCTGCGAAGCTCACCGTGTTCTGCTGACATACAAATTCATATTTCAGGAGGAGGCAGAATATCACGTTGCACCACAGTGAAGTGAACCAGCAGTGAAGCAGGGTTCCTTTAATGTAAGCAGTGCAGGATGGTGACTGCAGAAAAATAAATAAATGATGCGTGGGGGAATCTCCTGGTGCTTACCTGGGGCATCTGTACCTGCTGAATGGGGCTCACAATGTCTGTTGTTTCTTTGCCCCAATAACACTTAACAACATAGCCCTCTATGGATGTGCCGTTGACGGAGACAATGGCATGAGCTGCTGCTTCATGGGAGTTGAACCTGCGCCCACAGAAAGGAGATTAAATATATAAGGATATCTGATCAAAACATAAGAGCATGATGATTTAATGCAAGGTTTTTTGAGTGACAGGTTAATCTGCAAGTCAGCTTACCTCACAAATGAGTAGCCTTTGTCTGGGAAAACACGGATTTCCATTATTTGGCCAAAAGGTGAGAAGGTCTGTCTCATGGTTTGCTCTGCGAAAAAGAGACGAATATTTAAAAGATGAGATTTTTACATGTGCCTCTACATAAGGGTGCTACAATCAATTAGTCATTAATGGTACCAGGCTGATCAAATATAACCAGTTATGCGCGGTTTAAATCGTAATGGTAGATTTAGCAGCTTTTTAGAGCCGTTTAGCAATATGTCTTTAAAGCGACTAGCAACAAAATCAAAAGCAAAAAAAAACACTAGCGAAAAATAATAAAGAGTTGAGTCTTTGTAAAAGGTCTACATGCACAGTAAAGAATAATATTGTTTCTGTTGAATATCTGTACATATAACTACACTTTTCTAAATTGTTTGTGCATGCTGTCAATTAACACCAAATATTTGAAGTGGGACCTGAGATATGTGGTCCCCCTTTAACTCTCTAATATGCAGCTTAATCTTATAACTCACCTGTGAGTCCTGTTGTGACCCCCCCGCAGTAGACGGTGCAGTTGCTGGGGCTGGACTGGTTGACCACCTCGTCAAAAGAGAGCTGCTTGGCATTGGTGGCTAAAAGAAAAGATTAGAGCCGTTTTTCATTCATTTTATGTCTTTCTCAAAATATGTATTGTACAATACAACTGTGTGCATCTACTGTATGTGCTGCATGAACCATCTGATATATGGATTTTAGTATTCAGACACAGACAAGTGT